AAAAAAAAAAAAAAAAAAAAAAAAAGAAAGAAAAGAAAAGAAAAGAAATTATCCTTTCAAATTTGACTTTAATTAGATGTCGTGGCTCATGACCGTAATCCCAACACTCCAGAGGCTGAGGCAGGAGGATCACTGTGATCTTCTGACCACCTGGGCTGCAGTGAAAGTTCCAGATTAGTCTGAGCATGAGTGAGACTCTGCCTCAAAACATCAAAAGAAAAGTCTCTTAAAAGTTACCTCTGCTTTTTAAAATAGTAATAATAAGAATGATCTCAATCCTGAGTCTTTAAGGGTAGTAACAAGCCGGACAACTGTATGACATTCAGAGGAGCAGTACAGAAATGGCTGGGAAAGGACAAGGCGTTGATCTCAGAGATTGCAAGGTGCTAGAAGCTTACTCCTTCCCCTCTGTAAGCCTTATGAAGACATATGCTGACCACCAGCAGCTCCAAACATGAACACAAACAACAAGAGGCTACGTGCATTCCGTTTGCACTAGGATTTTGTTAACAGAGCCCAACTATCATGGTGGGCATTAGTAATCCTTGACTTGCTTGGCGGCCCGGAAGTGACGTACCTTTATGACTGTTCCTCGATGCTTTCTTCTCAGAATAGTCACAGATGACTCCCGCATCCTCACTATGGCGGCAGTTGTGCCTTCCAATATCCTGCTTGACACAGTCCGCCAGCAACTTCTCACTTCCTGTGCACTTCACGTTATCCATGTGGATGGGTCCTTTTCCTTCCCCGAAATAAGCCATGCTCCTTGCTCTGGCAGGACCCCTAGAAACAGAGCATTCCTCAGATGTGGAGGGTCAGCTAGACAAGCATCTGACAGATTTCAACACACTACATCTTAACTCTTCCTTAGATCTGAATATGAAAATTAATATGTGTGTATACTGAGAAATCACTTTTTGTGACTGTCAAAACATTTAACATTCTTCATTGGTGCATTCCATAGATACTTTACAGAACCAAATGACTCTAATTTAGCTTCTACTTAGCAAGTCACACATAAGGGATGTCAGAAATGAAGTCACCCTCCCCCCAAATTTCACTCTTTTAATATCAAATTACCAAGAAAAAATTAAATTAAATAATTACCATAGAACCTAAAGACGTATTTTTTCACCTTCTTTTGAAGCAATTAGATACAATTCTTAATACAGAAAAAGCTGGGAATCATGGAAGGCAGAATTATTTGGAATATTTCTTTTTTTTTGTTGTTTTAATATTACTTTCTGAAGATAAACAAATCCAAAAAACTTCGTCAATGAAAAGCAAAAGTTCCATCTTTAACTCAATTTCTAATAAATTACAGAATACAATTATAAAAGGAAAAATCATTAAAGTTAGAATCAGGAAAAATACCCTTAACAAATCAAAGTTAGAAAAAAATTATTAAAGATATAAATAAGATAAAAAAACTGATAAACTTGACAACTTAAATCAAGAATTCCACTTTACTAAAAACCACACTAAGTGAAGAGATAAGTCAGAAAGCTCATATTTATAATACACATTTACAAATGTATTTGTTGATACTTTTATAACAGAAAAGAACACACATTATACAAAGAACTCCTAAAAATTACACAAAGTTTTAAAAATTACAAAACTTAAAGATAAAAGCAAGATAGATCCCAAATAAAATAATCCTGATAAAATCAATGCCCAAACATTGCATTTTTATATAAATGAAAATATTAATGGCCAGTAAACAAATGGGAATTTGTTTGATCTCATTAGGGATTAGTGATAAGGTGAACACTAGCTGTTCATAAATTAAAAACTGTCACTGCTACTGAGTGTGTAAATAGTGTAGCCACATAGGAAAGCAACCTTGCAGCCCTGGACAGACTTGAGTATTCACATAGTCAACATGCTAATGGTTATATTCCTGAATATATTCCCTAAAAATCTCCCTTGAACAAGTCCTTTGGTCTCTGTCTCCTGGACTAGCCCTCTCTGTGTGTAGTAAACTGCACGGCCATTGAGTGCTACAGTCTTTACCATCAAGAAGGTCCTCACTAGGTGAGACTCCTTAAACTTCCAACCTTCCAGAATGGTGGAACAAACTACCTTCTTGATAAATTACTCAGCCTGTGCTTTTTGGTTATAATAATAGAAAATGCACTGCTACAAATATATGCACCCTGTTAATACAATCATGAGGCAAGTTGTATATTTACAGATGTGAATATTACAGAGCAAAATGGATGCAAACGAATCGCACCCTCTTGTATAAAATGTTATCTCAAAAGCAACACAGGAACAAAGCAAGTAACTGGAGATCCTAACGTAGGACAATTGGCTTTCAAAGTCAGACTTTTAAAAACAGATCCAACTATGGGTTAAGGAGAACTCATATTTTAAAATTATAAAAAAATGCAACAGGATTACACAAAATTTGGGAGAGTTCTTACTTTGGGTAGTTGAGTTACCAACAGTGTGATTGGCACATTAGGCACTTAAAGGTACAGTAGCTCTCTATTTCCTAAGCTTGGTAGTAGTGATGAGGTGCTTCATACTATTGTACAAACTGTGAATCTCTATATTTGTATGTATAAACACATGCCCAAACACATACATTTATAGTGGAAGGAGGAAATTTAAAATACAATTTCCAGCTGGGCGGCAGTGGTGCACGCCTTTAATCCCAGCATTCGGGAGGCAGAGCCAGGTGGATCTCTGTGAGTTTGAGGCCAGCCTGGTCTACAGAGCAAGTTCCAGGACAGGCACCAAAACTACACAGAGAAACCCTGTCTCAAAACAAAACAAAACACGATTTCCAGGAGGAAAGTAGCTATATGTTTTGTGTATCAATTAAGTATTTTTCCCCTTCAGTTATTTCTAAATGGACAACAGGGTCAGATTTATCTTCCACTGAGTATTATAGGACACTGTAACTGCTTCTTCTATTCATTTAGCTGTCAACTTGACCCAGCCCAGAGTTACCTGCGGACTCTCAATTGGGGGATTGTCTCAATCAGACTGGACCAGTGGGTATGTCTATGGGGGTGAATTCTTGATTGTTAAATTATGTAGATGAGCTAGGCCACTGTGGGCAGTACAACCACAAGCAGGCGAGTCTGGGCTGCAGGAAAAGCAGCAGAATGTGAGCCTGGAAGCAACCAGTAAGCAGTGCTTCCCTCTGACCCCTGCCTCTACTCCGGCTTGAGTTCCTGCCCTGACCTCCTTGGTGATGGACAGTGACCTGCCACATGAGATGAAATAAACCCTTTCCTCCCAAGTCGTTCTTTGAGGTGGTGTCTATCGCAGCAGAAAGCAAAGTCAAACAGTGTTTTATTTGAAACAGCATATACAACTACATCAGAAATTAAGTCCTTTGCAAGAATTTAAATGGAAGACAAATAAATATACTTTAAATATATTTTACATCTCTATTAAAACAATGGTGGTGGCACACCACTTTAAATTTTGGTTAAGAATGCCACTCTAGGGCTGGAGAGATAGCTCAGCAGTTAAGAGCACTGGCTGTTCATCCAGAGGTCCTGTGTTCAATTCCCAGCAACCACATGGTGGCTCACGACCACTGTAATGGGATCTGGCGCCCTCTTCTGGCTTTTAGGGATACATGCAGACAGAACACTATACATAATAGATAGATCTTTAAAAAAAAAAAAAAAAAAAAGAATGCCACTCTAATCAATAAGCTATTCAAGAGCAAGCCCACTTGAACCATATTCACACAAAATTCAAATCAATTAGAATTTCATCCTGACTGATTATTCTGCCTCAGTGATTTCAACTGTTCTCAGCATATTGTCAGTGCTCCAAGAACAGTGGTGGGTTCACATGCTATACTTTGTCAGACATCATGTAACACATACTTAAAGAATGCCTTTGGCTTTTCTTTTCGCGCTAACCATATCACATTAGTTCCACTCATGTTTCCTGGTTTTTATGACCACATTTGTGTTTTCCTTCTATAAAATACTTTCTAATTTGATTCTGTTTGCACAGGATCCTTCACATATGAGATTGTGGGCAAGAGGGCAGATTTCTAGAATGTCTACACAAGAGGCTCAGACCTTTAAATGGTATACAACATTTTCTGGATTGATTTCTGCAAATAAATATGTTGCCAAAGATTTTTATGACTCAAAATGGACATGGGAAAAAAGATGTCCTTCTCAAGTCACATGTGGGTCTACAATTGTAGGTGTGTTCCTGTAAAAAGTCTCATGTCCTCTCAGTTGGAAATCATAAAACCATGAAAGTATATCTGCATTTATCAGATATTGAGATTATTCTCATTTAAATAACAATTTCAAGGCAAAGCATAGGTGGCCAAGCAACCAGTGTTAGACAGAACGTTTCTTGATAACCGAGCTGGAAATGGAAGCCATGAACAGCAGTCATTCGTTTGCAAGTGGGGGAATGAATGATAGAAATACAGAGAGCAAACGACATTCGAAACTGAACATTGTTTAAATCCACCTATGTCCCTAGAGTAGAGCCTTCCTCTACCACATTTTTGGAAGACTGCAGGTCAGTATTACAGATTATAGACCTACTGACCATAAAATAAATAGACCAGCACGTAGGTCAAAACCAAGGTAGTACACCAGAGGATTTCATAACAAAAATATTGAAATTTTATACAACACAAATACCATTTTGAATAAGATGTATTCTACACAGAAATAACTATTCAATTGACCAATATTTAAGATATGCATATAATTAAGGGTATATTTTGTAAATACAAATCATTATTAGTTATCTACTATGAACTAGGTAACATGTATATTAGCTTATATTTCACAACCCTCTATGCTATAGCTGCGTGTGTTTTGTGTGTGGTGATACACATGAGTGTGCAGGGGCCCATGTCAGTAAGTCAGAGCAGGACGTTAGGTGTCTTTTTCTTTGCTCTCTGTCTTACTGCCTCGAGACGAGATCTGTCACTGAACCATAAGGCACCATTTGAGAGCCAGCTCTCAAGACCTGTCTCTCCCTATCCTGCGATGCTGGGGCTCCCAGAATGCTCGGCCAGGCCTGGCTTTCTATGTGAGTTCTGAGTGCTCAAGTGCAGGTCCTCATATGTGGTGGAATTGTGTTCCCCAAAATATTGTGCACCCTAATAAACTTACCTGGGGTCAGAGAACAGAACAGCTACTAGATACAGAGGCCAGAAAATAATGGCACACACACCTTTAATCCAAGCATTCCAGAGGCAGAGATCCCCATGGATCTCTGAGTTCAAGGCCACACTGGAAACAGCTAGGCGTGGTGACTCACATTCCTTTAATCCCAGAAAACGAGCCTTTAATCCCAGGGAATGATGGCAGAAAGCAGAAAGGTATATAAGGCGTGAAGACCAGAAACTAGAAGCTTTTGGCTGGTTAAGCTTTCAGGCTTTCAAGAAGCAGTTCAGCTGAGATCCATTCTGAATGAGGACTCAGAGGCTTCCAGCCTGAGGAAACAGGATCAGCTGAGGAACTGTCGAGGTGAGGAAGCTGTGGCTTGTTCTGCTTCTCTGATCTTCCAGCATTCACCCCAATAACTGACCTTGAATTTGTTTTTATTAATAAGACCTGTTAAGATTCATGCTACACTCATATTTGCAGAGCAAGCAGTCTTACCTACTGAGACACTTCCCTGGCCTCTGTGTTATAACTTGTATTCTACTTGTAACCCCCAATCCCCCATTTGACATGTTTTCACTGTCACTCATGAAAACTCCAAGTCACCCAGCTGAGAATCTGCCTTCTCCAGATTCAAATGTCCATATTTTCTTATTTTATACTGTAAATAAGTATCTCTCCGTAAGCCACATTATGGCCTTTCCCCCTGAGGAACACTATACAACACATCAGCCCTAGCTTGGGGGCTGTTTCAGTGAAATTAACACACACATACAGGCACACAAGCACACAAACGCAGAAGGGAAAACGTAAGATGCTGAGTAGATCACAAGAAAAGATAAGTATCCATAAGTATGAGAACTGACAGAGAAAGGCAGAATGCTGGCCTCAGCTACATTAACATTTACTGCGTTTGTAGCTGCTCTGCACAGCTTGACTCCCATGAATAGCAAGAACCAGCTGTTGGTTCAATGACTGGGGATTCAGTGCTCAAGCCTACATCACAGGGAAAGCTGACCTGAAGGCCGGTGGCCGAGGGCAGCAGCACTGTGGACCGTCAGAGTTGGACTGTATTTGTGATGGTAACATATTTCTTGGAAAGCTAAAGTAAATATAACTAGACTACTTACTGACTCTTTACAATTCCAAATCACCGTGCTGTTGATATTTTTAATTGAAGAAACTGATTTTACAGAAGGGAAACTCATTAGAATAAACCTAAGAAATATGAGTCATAGCAAGGTTCACCAAGCACCATCCCAGAGAACTGGGGCTTCCTTACTTGTAACCGAGCTGTCGACAGATCACAGCTGCATCTTTATCGGTCCATCCATCATCGCAAATTGTTCCCCATTGGCCATTGACAAAAACCTCCACTCGTCCTTCTTTCTTATTTTCTCCATCCATTAGTCTGATAGGAAAACCTAAGTCATGATTTTAAAATATTAGAAAAGCCAAAACAAGCCAAGTCATGTTAAAGCATGAAAACTTTACAAAATACAATTTAAAAAATCAGATATAAAATCAACTAGTGGGGGTGGGGGTGGGGGGATGGGAGGAGGGAAGAGAGAGGAATCTGCGATTGGTATGTAAAATTATTTAAAAAATGTCTTAATTAAAAAAATCAACTAGCAATCCTTCTTCTCGAGTGGGAGATGAAATACCAATAAAACCTAGTAGTCTCCCTTGTCCTTGGTAAAGTCCTGCAATCAAAGGGCTCATCTTGCTCATCTTTCTGTCCCTAGCGTTTGGAAATGTCTCTCATGCAGAGAAAAAGAGCTGCTCAAATGAATGGATGGATGGACAGATGACAGATAGATGCATGGCACTCTAAAATCATGAGCTAGCTATTTTTATTACAACTAACTTCTAATAAGTAATAGAGCATTAAGAGTTCTTTAAGTCATTTTTTAATTTATGGACATAGCTGGAGTATATACTTCCAAGTTAAGATTTTTAGGAAGGTATAAACAGGTACAGCATTGGCATACATGGGTAACTCAGTTGGGTAGGCTGCTAGAAGGGGTGGCATGGAGGAAGGCAGCTATCAGTCTAAAACCTTTCGTTTAACTTTTATTTCAAATGAAGGACTTAAATCACAAAATTTATTAATATTTAAAAACCAAGAAATTGATCTCTAGTAAATTAAGGTTGAAACTTCATAAATGATGAGAAATCACATCTCTATCTTCCCCGATATATATAGTGATAGGTAGATAGATATAGATACAGACAATATAGAGATAGTGATAGATAGATGGTATCCCTCGGGGCCTTTACTGAGATTCACTCTCCAAGATGGAATGGTGTAGCTATGAAGCTGAATCTTTGTTCTATACAGTGTTGTCCTTATGGAAAGGAAGACAAAATTAGAGTTTTAAAAGGAAGATATCGTAAAAAGGCCCCGGGAGGAGATCTGCCATCTACAAGCCAAGCCAAGAACAGAAACCTAAAAAATATGTGTCCTTTGCAGCCCTTCCTTCCGAATTCCTTCTCAAGGAGCCAACCTCGCTGACTGGTTTTGAATGCCTCACTTCCAGACTGTGAGATAATAAACATCTGTGTTGAAGCTACTTCATCTGTGGTCTCCACAGCAACCCAAGCAGATTGACGCATACACCTTTGGGTGCCTAGTTACTGGAAGGGTCTGCTAGCTTCAATAGAACTTATGAGTGAGGACTTACAGACAATAAAGCATGGTAAAAACTGTCCAAGACAACCAAGGAGGTGGAATCAAGAAGCTAATGTCCAAACTATCACTTAATACATGCTTAAAACAACATAGGGAATTATTGAATCGATATTTATTAACTAAAAAATTGTTGACAAAATAAACACGTTTTATTTTTCTTTCTCAAAATTCCAAAATCCACTCCCCCAAAAAACCCAAACATGTGGTAGTATTTAAATCCCCCACTGAGATTCACATCCTGACACAATCATTTGTGCAGTCATTTGGGTATGTCCTAATTCAGTATGACCCGTGTCTTTATGAAGACAGAAAAATAATAATTTTTAGCCCTCCCTCCTTCCTTGTTGTGCCCAGAACGATTCAGCCCCCAGTTTCAGTCCTTGATCAGGATTACTTCACCAGACAGGAGGGAGAATGAATTATACAGCGAAGTCAAAACCAACACGGGTTTAAGTGAATATGCACTTCTAACTAGTAGCTTTCAAAGTGCAGCAAGTTTTAACTTGTACTAAACAGAACATTTGAAACTTTGTATTTCTTACTAGTGTGTCTGAAATTTTAGTGTTCTTCATGAGAGAAGGTTAAAAAAAAATGCTGATTCCCCAAAGACCAAATTCAAACTGATGAAATTTTTTGAGTCTTGGTTTTCAATTTTAATATTTTTAAATCTTTGTTCTAATATTAAGAAAATACATCCACAAGGAATTAGGTCTCCATGATCTATCTCAATAGTTTCAAGAAAATTTTTGTATATCTTGCTCTATTTAATTTATTTGTATGTGTATGAGTGTTTTGCTTGCGGGTATGTCTGGCTTGCCTGGTGTCTGCAGAGGTCAAAAGAGGGACTAGAATTCTCTGGGACTAGAGTTATATGTAGTGGTGAGCTGCCATGTGGTTGCTGGGAACAAAACCCCAGAACTCTGGAAGAGTAGCCAGTCCTCTTTACCACTGAGCCAGCAATCCAGCCCCAAATTTTTATATACTCTTTAAAAAATTAAAATTTTATATAGTCTTTTTATGTAGAGAAACTAGGGGAGTTGGTTCTCTCCTCCTATCTTGTGAATTCTGGGGATTGAATGTAGGCCATTAGATATGTGGGGTTAGAAACTTGTTTTCTTATTGAACAACTTATACTTTTAAGTGATGAAAAACAAATCCAGAACTAGAAATGCAATAGTAGTTGAGAACTCAAAAGCTTATTTTTTTCTAGGGAAACAGACCTTTAAACAGTTAGTCAAGGATGGGAAATGTTTTGCATTCAAGACCAGTGGAGAAGCAGAGTAAATGCCTGTGTCTTCAAGAGCCATCCGTCCTTACCTGGAGAAAGCCTGTGTCCCTCACTGTCAGGGTAGCAGGTGAGGCCCACATCTTCCCTATGGCTACAGTCATGCTTTCCCCACTGTCTCCTGGAACACTGGAGGAAGCTGGCTTCTCTTCCTGAGCAGCTGACGTCATCCAGCCATATGGGCCCATCGCTGCCTTCAAAGTGGTTTACAGAGGCCTGTCTGCCATATCTGCAGCAATGAAATGAATACTGTTCACAGGACTGCCATCCCAGGAGTCAAAGAACCATTAAAAAACAACCTAATTAAGTATCATGACTTCAGGGGGTAAGAATTTGACCTTTGTCCTGCCTTGGAGACCCAACTCTGCTTGCCTTGCCGTGTGTTTAAGTCATCTTAACATCCTTTGGTTGACTTGATGAGGAACTAACCGGGAATTCTTTCTTGTGTTTTGTCTACAGTTTAACCCACCAGCCAGAGAGCGTGCAAAGAGATAAACCTCAGATTCCTGGCCATGGATCAACTCTGTGAAGTAGAGAAGAGGAAACAATTGTTTGTTTGGGGCTCTGCTCAAACTATCTGAGCTAATCTGAGTTTATCTGCTTCCCTCAGGCTTTCTGGAGTCCTTCTCCAAGACAGAAAGTGTATAGCATTCAGTGACTGCTCAAAAACAGGACCCAATCTGGGATTACAATTTTGGTGTTGGCCCATCAAAGTAAAAACAATGACAGTGTTCTTTTTGAAGGGTTATATAAGTTTAATGCATAATTTTTTTTATAAATGACACTGTGCCAATAGACTTTATTATATTATGTATTGCAATTAATGATAAACTGTGAAGTAGCAAATATCTGTAAAATTAAAAAACTGGCAGTTAAGTAATTGCATTTATTTTCACCCCTCTTTCAACTTTTCTTTCATTCCTTCAAAATCATCCAGATATCACTGAGCTCACTTCCAAGTGCCTTCAATTCTTAGAGTCTATAAAAGTCAACCCTCAGTCAGAAATTGTATGCCCATCATTTCCCTTTCTCAACACTTTTATTGTTTCTTCACTAAGGATATGAAGACATCTTTCCATTTGCCATGAATTTTCCTAATAGTTCTACTGTGCAATCACTGGATCTAACTAGATGAATTTTTTAATATGTTAAATCAACATAATCTTATATGGTTTTTGGTTTTGGTTTTGGAGACAGGGTTTCTTTGTGTAGCATTGGCTATCCTGAAACTCACTCTGTAGACCAGGATGGCCTTGAATTCACAGAGATCTGCCTGCCTCTGCCTCCTGAGCCCTGGGATTAAAGGTGTGTGCCACCACCCCTTGGCACAACACAGTTTTTAAGTAGTCATTTTAAGGCTACTTGTCTACTAATAAAATTTTAGCAAAAAAAAAAAAAAAGCATTGAACTTAAATCATATATTGCTGTCACTTTTGACTTAGAGCATTCTTCCAGCAAATGCCTTACTCTGGCTTCCCTCTAATTCAACCACAAAACATATAACAGGAAGTTTTGTTAGCTTTGAGACTGCATTGGTACAAAGACACCAAGTTTACTCTTTCTCATCCCCAGTGAATCATTGCTTTCAGAACTTCCTCTGTAACTTAAATGTGGCACACGCTCACACTAACACATGAATGAGAACATTATAAGTGCCAGTAAGCCCAGATAATTTGTCCAAGAGAGAAAATGGCATGGATCTTTGAAACTAAAATATGTAAGATGCAGAGGAAAACTTAGTGTCACTTGGTCATTTTCATTAATGAGGAAAAAATGTGAAAATAAACAGCAAACAATAGACACGTCTCCCTACATCTGTGAAAACTGAAGCTACAATTGTCAGGGTAACATACTCACTTAATGCGACATGGTATATGCTAAATAGTTCTAATTAAGTAGCCATATATATTTGGCTATTATATGCCTTAGCCTAGTAATTTCAACAGTTGCTATTCCCCCAAAATGAAAAATGTCAGTGAATTTGTACATCTGTACTTTTCATGACAGCATTATTTATTATTACACTAATAGTTACCTAGAAAATAACCTAAATATTCATTAGATCATCGTGTGACTGTTTAATGGATATCAAGTTACATCAAAACTTGTGACATTAGCCGGGCGGTGGTGGCGCACGCCTTTAATCCCAGCACTCGGGAGGCAGAGCCAGGCGGATCTCTGTGAGTTCAAGGCCAGCCTGGGCTACCAAGTGAGTTCCAGGAAAAGGCGCAAAGCTACACAGAGAAACCCTGTCTCGAAAAACCAAAAAAAAAAAAAAAAAAAAACCAAACTTGTGACATTATGCCATTGAAAAAGTAAAGCAAGATGGCTATAAAATCATAGATTTACGTTGTAGTAAATATAGCTGATATAAAAAGACACATGAAAATTCCAAGTGGTCATAAGAATGGGAAACCATGGAGAATATTTCATTTTATTTCTTTAAAAAATACACCCCTAAGCATAGCTTTACCCAGTTTGAAGGTGATATGTATTTTAAGGCTTAGTGAATATTTGTGATTAACTATATTTCAAGCTGAAATTAAGTAATTTCACTAATTTTTAAAATCATGCTATAGAAATATGAAAGATAAGAAAGAAGGGGCATCCATGAAATTCATTTGAAGATTTACCTCAAGGGCATCTTTTTGTTACTTCAACCAACTGAAGTCTTTATTCTGGAATGCATTATGTGTGTAACATGACATATACTGCCCCAAAGTGTGGCACTCAGATTGTAAGTGGGCAAGGTCAAAGGCTAGTTCTAAAGGTCATCTCACGACAAGAGGGCTGTTCTTTCCCAACACAAGTGTCAATTATCATCATGTTCCAAGAAAGAACCACGTGACAACACAACATTCCCCACTGGAATTGCTGAAATTTTAGACACAACGATGTCAAAACCAACAGCATCCACTAGTAACAACAGATCATAATAAAAGCAAGCATTTAGAAGCTTGCCTGAATAGACAAAAGAATGGACTAGAAGTCACTCTTAGCTTCCAACAATTTGTTCAAAAAAAAAAGATGTTGGGGGGAAAAAGAGCTGTTGGTAGGAAAGGTAAATAAAATAAATGACAAGAGATGGTACTCATTATCTTTAAAAATGTCATTTTTTTTATTATATGTCCATCTGTAGGTAGATTGGCAAGGTAGTAGGTAGGTAGATAGGTAGGTAGGTAGGTAGATAGATATATAGGTAGGTAGGTAGGTAGGTAGGTAAGCAGGCATTACTGATATGACAAATCATAATAGACTATAGATGCTGATGATAACAGATGATAGACATATAGATGATGATAGATAGGTAACTAATAGGGAATACATATCTATTTTTAGGAATTACAGGTAAGGATTATGCAGTAATTCTGACTTTAAAGATATGTTTTGGCATTCGATGTCCCCACACCAATGAGCCTTACTTAAATCCGAGCAGTCGACAAGCCACGTGTGAGTTCGTCTCAGTCCATCCGTCATCACATACTGTTCCCCACTTTCCCCTATAGTACACCTCCAAGCGACCTTCATGGCCACTCTTCCCTCCTGCAAGTCTGATGACCCCATCTGTGAGAAGGAGATAAAGACATAAGGCAAATTTGCTTTAAAAAAAAAAAATAGGGGCCAGGCAGTGGTGGCACACGCCTTTAATCCCAGCACTCGGGAGGCAGAGCCAGGCAGAGTTGGAGGCCAGCCTGGGATACAGAGTGAGATCCAGGACAGGCTCCAAAGCTACACAGAGAAACCCTGTCTCAAAAAATAGATAAATAAATAAAAGTGCCTTTGTTTGACCTGACGTATCACCATATCTAGGTCTCCCTTTGAGCCATTTGATAACCTGACATTATGACTCTACTCAGTCATGTGAAGTAATTGCACTCTTCCTGAAGATTGGTACATCTGTCTTCCTGATATTTTTACTGTATTCTCCAAGCAGAAAATACATTCTGATGTAATTTCAAAGTACATATTTCTTAATTTTTCTATATTAAATCCTATTTGGGAAAATTTCCATAATTCCAGTCTTCTTAAATATAAAGGACAGTGGTCATTTTCATTGAAATAGCAAGGAAAAAAATATATAGTGATTTAGAGGTGGTATTTCAAATTTTTAAGTGCACATCAAAATACTGAACTAAGCATGCAGGCAAAGCTACTTCAGGTAAAGAGCAATCTAGCTTGTCAATGAGGTCATTATTTCTCAGACACCCACAGGTAATAAAAACACATCTTGCCTTTGTTCTTTTACTGACAATACAGATCTGAAATTTGAATCTTATTAACTCAGTGAGTAATTATACACAGAGGATTCTACAAAAAGTTTGTAAGCAGAGAGCCCAAAAACTGTCATTACCAAAGACATAGATTTAGAAGTCATTTCCATCCAAAATAATCCAAACACCTCTCAATGAAACACAGTAACCAGAGAATAGAACATACTTTGCATAGGTCTCTGGTATCCACTGTAGTGAACAAAAGTCTCTTGACACAAAACTACCTGTTGTTCACAATTTATTGTCTTCAAAGCATTGTACCACCTATTATCTCATATGCCCATAATAGCACTAACAAGATTACCTCATTTGAAAGAGGGCAGTTCAAGGAAATGAAATTCTGTCCACTTTGGTGCAAATTCGAAATTTCTATTTTGTACAAATGCATTGTGTTGCTAATAAAACAACAGCATCAATGAAAACATATAAATCTGAGTTCCATACATACTAATCCTTTTACTTTTCACACATACACACACACAAATATACATAAACAAAAATATTTTAAAGCATCCCCTTCTTATGACACATGGCATATATGGCAGACATGCAGCAATGTGCATTCGTCTAAGGTTTGATTACAAAGCTACCTTGGCCTCTTTATCAGTTTTCTTTAATGAGAAACCACATAAACACAGTCTTACAGTGACTACCAGCTGAATGGATTAAAGACGTAATATACTGACACCTAATGTCTAGTATGCATCACTGCACATTGATTTTGGCTGTTGGGTACCGCAAATTGCAAAAAAAAAAAAAAAAAAGTGATAGTTTCTGATCTAGCTTTGTTGGACTTTAAGAAATAACTGTGAGTGAAGAAATTACATTTTGAAATAAAAATTGTGTCTGATTTTTATCCTGAGTTTTGCTTAGACATTCATTGGTCCACTCATTTGACAACATATAAATTAAGAAAGGAAGCTGTGGCAATACCAGCCATGGGGGAAGAAGGTAGCACATTTAGGAAATGACAGCCTTACCTGTTAGAGGGACACAAGACACTCCAGCATCTTCTTTATGGCCACAGTTATGCTCTCCCCAGGAGCTCTTTGGACACTGCTCAACGGACAGCTCATTTCCTGTGCAGCGCACTTCATCCAACAATATCGGGCCAGCTCCTTCCCCAAAATGTGCGTGATGCCATGCCCTGGCAATGCCACTGAGTAAACATAAAAGGTAGATGAATTCTGGATTCCATAGTGAAAGGCGTTCCCGTCCTCTTTCCTCGCTTCTGGCCAACACATAGTGATTAATCCCACTCCCCAACTACTCCCTATGTTATTTGTGAGTTTCTTTACTCTGTCTTGCTTCCATTGTCTACCACCAAACATGTTTAAAAACTGCTTGGTATTTCTCAACCTTTACTCTCCCTTGGTCATTAATAACATAATCTCAGAGTTTTTAAAAGTACAGTAATGACTACCCAAAATAAACACACTTCCAAGCCTCCTATCCTACTAGAGAGCTGTTTATATCATGACATAAACACCATTTTAACAATGGTTAAGCACATTAAGTCCTTTACATTGATGTACAGTTATCAATACCACCTGTCTGCAGAAGCTTTTCATCATCTCCAAATAAAACTTGACCATTATTAAGTTTTTAGCAGCACCATTTAGAAAGAAACAGTCATGGATCACTCGAAGGCAATGTCTTCATTCTGTCTCCTTCATTTCACACATAAAGCAAAGGTAATGGCTGAAGGAGAGACCTACACTGGCCCAGGTTGTGCCTCCTCTGTGCACACACTGTTTTGGAGACAGGGTCTAAAACCAAACTAGACTGCTCTGAAACCATCTATGTAGTCTTAACTAGCCTTAAACTCACAGTAACCAATCATTCTGCCTCAGCCTCTGGAGTGCTGAATTGAACACATGAGCACTGTATCCCGAAAAACACCCTATTAAGGGCACAGAGATGGAAGCAAGAAAGAGTTGGTGTCCTGATGAGTGAAGTCTCAAGAGTACTCATGTTGAAAACAACATTTAAAAATTAAGCTTCTTGATATCTGAAAATGGAAAGGTCTCCCATGCTCATGGATAGGTAGAATTAACATAGTGAAAATGACAATCTTACCAAAAGCAATCTACAGATTCAATGAAATCCCCATCAAAATCCCAACACAATTCTTCACAGACTTGGAAAGAACAATACTTAACTTTATATGGAAAAACAAAAAACCTAGGATAGCTAAAAGAATCCTGTATAATAAAGCAACCTCTGGAGGCATCATGATACCTGACCTCAAGCTCTACTATAGAGCTGTAGTACTAAAAACAACTTGGTATTGGCATAAAAACCAACATGTGAACCAATAGAATCGAACTGAAGACCCTGACATTAATCCACATACCTATAAACATATGATTTTTGACAAAGAAGCCAAAACAGTACTATGGAAAAAAAGAAAGCATCTTCAACAAATGGTGCTGGCATAACTGGATGTCAACATGCAAAAGATTGCAAATAGATCCATATCTGTTGCCATGCACAAAACTCAAGTCCAAGTGGATCAAAGACCTCAACATAAATCCAGTTACACTGAACTTGAAAGGAGAGAAAGCAGGAAGTAGTCTTGAACATATCAGCACAGAAGACCACTTCCTAAATATAACACCAGTAGCACAGACACTGAGAGCAACAATTAATAAATGCGATCTCCTGAAACTGAGAAGCTTTTGTAGAGCAAAGGACATGGTCAATAAGACAAAACAACAGCCTACAGAATGGGAAAAGATCTTTACCAGCCCCACATCTGACAGAGGGCTGATCTCCAAAATATATAAAGAACTCAAAAAGCTAGACTTCAAAATACTGAAGAATCCAATTAAAAAATGGGCTTCAGAGCTTAACAGAGAATTCTCAACAGAAGAATCTCAAATGGCTGAAAGGCATTTAAGGAATTGCTCAACATCCTTAGTCGTCAGGGAAATGCAAATCAAAACAACTCTGAGATACCATCTTACACCTCTCAGAATGGCTAAGATCAAAAACACTGAAGACAGCTTATGTTGGAGAGGATGTGGAGAAAGGGGAACACTCCTCCACTGTTGGTGGGAATGCAAACTTGTACAGCCACTCTGGAAATCAGTATGGCGGTTTCTCAGAAAATTGGGAATAAGTCTTCCTCAAGACCCAGCTATACCACTCTTGGGCATATACCCAAGAAATGCTCAATCTTACCACAAGGACACATGCTCAACTATGTTCATAGCAGCATTATTCCATAATAGCAAGAACCTGGAAACAACCTAGATGCCCTTCAACTGAATAATGGATAAATAGAATGTGGCACATATACACAATGGAGTACTACTCAGCAGTAAAGAACAATGATATTATGAAATTTGCAGGCAAATGAATAGAACTAGAAAATATCATCCTGAGTGAGGTAACCCAGACTCAGAAGGACAAACATAGTATGTACTCACTCATAAGTCGATGTGAGGAAATGGATGGCCAGACTGCAACCCACAGCTCCAGAGAGGCTAGCTAACAGGGAAAGGCCCTATGAGGGACACATGGATGACCCAGTGAAGGAGAAATGGATGAGATCTATATGAGTGGACTGGGGTGGTGGTAGCAAGGTGTGAGGGATGAGAACATAGGGAAATGGGAGGGTCACGCTGGAACAGGGACAAAGTGGGAGGGCAGAAAAAGATGATAGATGAGGACATCATGGGAATAGGAAGAGGCAGGGTGCTGGGGAGGCTCTCAGGAATCCACAAGGATGACCCCACCTTGGACTGCTGGCAGTGATCTACAGGGTGCCTGGTCTGGTCTACTCTGGTGACCTGTCTAGTAAATACCCTAACTGTAATCATAGAGCCTTTGTCCAGTGACTGATGGAGAGCAGATACAGAGATCCACAGCCAGGCACCAGGTTGAGCTCTGGGAACCCAATCAATGAGAGAGAGGTGGGGGACATCGAGATCATGATGGGAAGACATGCAGAGATGACTGGCTACACTAGGAGAAGCCCATGAACTGTAGACTAGTGGCTGTGGAGCCCCCATTGGACTGAACTAGGCCCTCGGGATACAGAAGACAGTTGTTTGGCTCGAACTGTTTGGGGGACACCCAGGCAGAGGGATCGGGATCCATCCCTGGTGCATGGGCAGGCTTTTGGGAATCTGGTGCCTATGGTGTGACACCTTGCTCAGCCTTGGTGCAGTGGGAAGGGGCTTGGAACTGCCTAGGCTGAGTGTGCCAGACTCTGCTGACTCCCCATGGGAGACCTTGATTTGGGAGATGTTGGGATGTGGGGTGGCTTGGGAGAGGGGGCTGGGGATGGGAGGAAGGAGGAGGGGGAATTGGTGGGTGGTATGTAGAGTGAGTAGAAAATTTCTTAATAAAGAGAAATGAAAAAAATTAAGCTTCTCTTTAAATGATATCAAGCCAAATACATAGGGCACATTTGCACCATTATAGCCTGACTCACTATGCACACAATTCAGAAAGTACCCAAAAGAGGGACTGAGAAATGCTTCTAGAAGATAATATGGAGGGAATCAAGGAAAAGAAAAATACATTTCCTTTTGTTGAGTTAAAATATTTCAAAATTCAGAATCCCAATACTTGAACCATTCTCTGCTCTTAATAGTCTACCCCAACAAATAATAAAGACAAGACTCTATTGAGCAAACGTAAAGGAAAAAGCGTTGATATCCTAACCTGAGTGGTATTGTCAAAATGAGTTAATTTATGAAAAAGTTTGCTTTGAATTCTATGCCTAAGATTTGTGACTCCCTTTTTAGAAGGATCTAGGACCAGACAGAAGAGCCCAATCTAATGGCCCTAGATCAGATGACAGCAAATGATGACCCACAGATGAATACTGAATGGCACCTAGTTTCATACTGCCATTGCGCTAAGATAGATTTCTACCAAATCTGAATGATCAGCAGGAAGAGCAAGACTGAATGATAATGTAATTGGTGATGTGTAACATCAACTGAAACCCAACTTTTCTTATACAAAATAAAACTGTGTTGAAGCCAAGCCATGCTGGTGCCCAAGGCAACGTTGGTGGCCCAGTGGTGAAGCTAAGTGACTACAAAGTCTAAGGTATTGGCTATCTGGTCTGTGGTGGCTTCAGCACGTGTTCTTGAACATTTGATCCTCAGTTTCTCATGCTGGGGGGCGGGGTATGGAACCTTTAAGGGGTGGAGCCTCGCTGAAGGAAGTACATTACTGGCTCTGGGCTTTAAGGTTGTATAGCTTGGCCCCACTCCCTGTTCTTTCTCTGCTTCCTGTGTGATGCTTGTGTGTTTGGCCAGCTTCCGGCTGGCACAGAGCTTGCTCTACCATGCTCTCCTTGACTGTTACCATGACTTCCCCACTATAATGGATTCTATTACTCCGGATTTTTAAGCCAGAATAAACTCTTTTCTCCCCTAGTTATTTTGATGATGATAATTTATTATAACAACAACAAAAAACAATAGCTAAAACATGGCCCTTTAAAAGAGAGAAATTAATGGGAGCAAGCATAGACTGTGATTCAGAGGACACAGTGAATGAATGGTGACTGGGGGACTGTGCAGGTCATGGAGAAGCCAGGTGCAGAGAAAGGCAAATTAGCCACCTCCTTAGAGCTTTGCACCAGGAAAAGATGTTCAGGAAAACTGTCACTAGATACAATTCACTAACTACAATAAGGCTAGAAAGAAACTGAAACATCAGGGAATAATGTAAAATCTGATCCCAGACTCCCAACAGAAACAAAATTAAATCCAAGTGGTTTAAAGATGAAAAGGGAAAAGAATATGGAGTGGAAGAAGTGTGTGTGTGTGTGTGTGTGTGTGTGTGTGAGAGAGAAAGGGGGGGAGAGAGAGAGAGAGAGAGAGAGAGAGAGAGAGAGAGAGAGAGAGAGAGGTGGGGGGAATGAATAGTAAAAAATTACTATGCTAAAATAATAGGGATGTTATTCTTATAATCTTAGATGTAGATGATTTTTTGAACAAGACAGGAAACCTGGAAGGCAGGAACAACAAAGCCTAGAAAGGTTACATTTGAGTATATACAAATTATATACAAATTGAAAACCACCACATAATCAGTCACTGGCAAATGGAATACATTAGAATAAATATTTGCAATATGTGACAGCAACCAAACCAACTCCCGGTAACCATTAAGGATAAGAATACTATTAAATTTTAATGAACAAGAAGGCAACTAATTTCAAAAATAATAGGGCAATGGGGTGGATTAAAGTGGAGAAAGAATTACCTGTGGTCACTGACCGCTTAAGATGTTCAAGCATGTGAGTGGTCAAAGCAAAATAAAACATTCGTGCCTGTCATGTTTTTCACAGATTTAAAGGAGTAATATTATTCTTCAGGCAATATTTTGGCAAAGGATTTCTGTCCCCAAGGGGAGAAAATACAAAGCCTAATGTCATCTCTTCGCTGGGAGTGACATCCCAAACTCTGGGGCAGATATACTGTTTGCATGGCACAGGCTCTCAGAACAAAACATGAGACCTGTTGCTTGCCTTCGGCTGCCTCACGTGCTTGAGGAAGAATCCAGCATGTGGGCATTCCAAATGGTGACTCAAGAGAAGTTACTTACTCCAAAGTCTATTTCTAAAGCATCAGTGGGTGTTTTGTTTTCTGTTTTATATATTTCCATATTTTCTACTAAAACAATATGTTAAAGATCTTAAAAACATTTAATTAAGATAAATGCATCAGACAAGCAAAAGAAACTTGAGGGGGAAGCGCTAACCAGGAAAATATCATGCAACATTAACTTGGTTTTCTAGTCAACACACACACACACACACACACACACACACACACACACACACACACACACACACTCCTTCAGTCGGGATTTCCTCATGACCTGCTGCTGGTTTCACAGGAAAAACAAAGAAATGAATGGCTTCTAAAGAGATCAGACAATACTGGGTAAAGAGGCATCAAACTCATGGGCTAGGACGTCAAAAAGTTCCACGTGAATTAAGTAAGTAGTGTGTGCTGTCCTTCCCGTGTACATGAATTGAGTAAGCAGTGTGTGCTCTGTCCTTCCCATCTAAATAAATTAAATAAGCTTCGTGTGCTCTGTCCTTCCCATCTACATGAATTGAGTAAGTAAGCTGCGCATGCTCTGTTCTTCCTGTCCACATGAACTGAGTAAGCTGCTCCAAACACTGTCCTTCCCATATGGAAATCATTTCCACACCAGCCTGCCAGTTCCGCGCTGAAGCTCCAAGCACTCACTCCTTTCATGCCCTGACTGCAGAGAAAGCTTATGGCTTCATTCTGTGTTTGACCCTCATCCTATGTGTTCTTGTCATTAATCAAAGGGCATGGACCCATTACAGAAACTGCCAAACAAACACTACCATATGATTAACTCAAGACCCAAACTTGGCCACTATCTGAAGCAGACAAGGTAGGTAGACCAGCAAAGCACATGCTCTTTATGCCATAAAGGATTGCTTCTTTAACTACACATATCAGTTTGTAACACTTGCGACCTATGGCTGTAGAAACTCATTTTTAATCATCAGTGTACTGGTCATCAGTCTCCTCCATCACCAGTGACTCCTAATGTGCAATGACTGCTTAAGACTTGCCTGGCCCTGGTCTAAGAGCACTGTGCATATTAACTCATTTAATCTTCCACTGCAGCTTTATCATGTTATAATACCAGCTTTATGGACAAGAAAACAGAGGCTCACAAGTTAAATAGCTTTCCCAGCATCTCACCATATCTAAATGGTAACGGTCAGCAGGCTCTGAACCTCCAGTGTTTTCAGCCTCCCAGGATGTTTTCAGTTGATGGCAGATGCTATGTCTAACACAGTCCAGTCAAAACACTGACACTACCATTTTCTTTCTCGTCTTACTTCTGTGTTTCTTTCAGCTCTATGTTTTTGTTCTGCCATTTAACAGAGTATAGTATGAGTGGAAAAAATCCTCTATGGATTGAGTCATGAGTCTCAGGACTGTTTCCGACTCACAGGATGAAATCAAGAACATGGCTATAAGTGGGCATCACTTGCCCATCTGTTAATATACCTTCCTCTCTGATTAATCAAGTCCATATATCTGGAAATTTTTATTGTAAATTTTGTAAGGGAGTCAATGTTTTTTAATGGACAGGGAAATAAAAAGGTAAAGAAAAAAATTTAAACAGCAATTTATATTATAATAATATTATCCTAACATTTAATATCATCCTATAGGAGAATTTTATAGCTCCCTCTAAGGAAAACAAAATTAATGGAAAGAAGCATTTAAATAATTAAATTTTTGTGTAAAGTATGGAACTTCAGCACAATCAAATGTGATGTAATGCTAAGCTGGGCTTTTAAAGGTTCCTAAAGCCAGGAGGAGGAAATGCTTTTAATATTAATCTCCACCTGAATTTTACTGAGTACATAAGCACCCCCAGGTTATCTAATTTGATAACATCTGCCAGTCTCCCTTTTTCCTCTTCATCATCCCCACATACTGAGCTAATCAAATTTAAGTATCTTAAGTATAATAATTCCCTTTGCATCAGGAAGGCTGAGAACCACTGCCTTAGAGTGTTTTGAAAACACAGAATCTGGAGATACCTCTAACTAAATAGAAGTTCTGGATAGAGGAATTTTGTCTGATAATCTCACCACAACACACCCATCTTACTCACCATCTTTTAAAGCTAATGCTCCATAATTAGATTGACCCTGACAGCCAATGTATTCTGTATGGCTACTACATAACTCAACACTATAAATTAGAAACATGTTATGGGCAAGAAAACTGTTACTAAGAGCTATCCTGTAACAACTCAGAGGTAGGACCACATACTTTGAGAGGCCAGAAGGTGCTCATGCTATGCTATTCTATCTCCAATAGCAAAGTTTGGAAACATTAAACAACACTGGCCTTGAATCTGAGACCTAGTCAAACAATTAAAAAATAAATCATCTGTAAATTCCACAATTTGTTGTAGTTTTATTAAAAGGAACTGACTTGCCCTGTCTGGTCCACCTAAAGAAATACTAGCCAAAAATACTGCTAGTGACTAAAGCCAAAGCCACTGTCCTAGGATTCTCATGTTTGTTCCTTTCCCACACATAAACCACAAGTCAGCAGTTAGACCCAGTTACACAAACTGAAAAAGTCACCTTAATGTTCAATTTTAGCCTTGCCATTATGGGACTTAAAAAAAAAAGAGCACCATTTTGACTCCATGACCCCTGGTGGAGAGCCAGACAATAACCCATCATCTGTGGTGGTTTCTAAGCAGAACCTAGCATTGAGCCAATCAAGCCTTTGTGACTAGTTTCCAATTCCAGAACCTATAAGAATTAAAGAACCAATCTAAATGACACTAATTCAGAAGATGGGGCAGTCTCTAGTGTGTCCATTCAACAAGTTGAGGCTGTGAAAATAGAAGAAACTGGCCCAGGTTCTAAAAGACTTCAGGGCTATAATGTCCAGCTGCACTGGATTACCTTGGACTGAGTCCCACTGTGGGCAAAGCATGTGTCAAAGACGCTGTGTGAGTGACTAAAAACACTTGAATACAATGAGAAATTAGGCTACTTATGATAATGGTAATTTGGCTATGTTAGACAATATTCTTATTCTTAAGAGAGGCATACTAAAGCTTCAGAGATAAAATTTTAAAATGCTTCAATGTGAATATAGAGTTTTGAAAAGGGGGGCTGTCATAAAACAATTCCAAGCAACTTAGACTAATTGGCCCAAGATTACAAATCCTACCTCAATATCAAGAATTTGGCTAACTAGACAAAATGATATATGCCCTGAGAAACTCTCATCACAGCGACTTCCCGCCAAGTGCTGAGTAGAATAACTGAATTTAGTGTAAAATATTAACCTTTAAAAGATCTCATATAATCCTATGTAAACTTTTAGCTTTGTTAACCAATGTTTAAAAATCATAATATTCCAGAATAATCACAAGCTTGGAAGGACATTGGATGTTGTTTTTCATCCTGATGTCCTTATTATTCACTTCATTCCATTCCCTATATTGGAATTACTTCCTTTGTGCATGGATAAACATCCTTTGTTCTAAAACATAACTAACAAAAAGAGAAGTGAACTTCTAAAGTTTAGATAACCTTTGGAAAAGTTAAATATATATAGTAAGCTAACAATTAGTGCATCATCCAGTGACTTATAAAAAACATTCACTGTAATAGACAATGACAGCCTTACCCAAGGGCAATGTAAAGGCTACCAATGAAAGTAGAAAATCCCTAATTCCAACAAAAGGCAGATTAGCTCTATAGAATACATGCATGTACTCTTCAGAGAGCTTACAAACTAGTACAAAGATAAAAAAGGTAGCCTTTTCCATTGGTTTCAGGAAATTTAAACATACAGCACCCTCTCTGGAGTACAGAAGTAATAGTATCAAAAATTAAGAAAGTAAAACAGCCGGGCGGTGGTGGCAGAGCCAGGCGGATCTCTGTGAGTTCGAGGCCAGTCTGGGCTACCAAGTGAGCTCCAGGAAAGGCACAAAGCTACGCAGAGAAACCCTGTCTCAAAAAACAAAAAAAAAAAAAAAAAAAGAAAGTAAAACAGAAGCGGTACAGAACAAACCTGAGACCCAGCTGCCTGCAGACGACTTCTGCGTCGGCATCATCCCATTGGTCGTCACAGATGGTCCCCCACTGGCCAGCGTGGTACAGCTCCACTCGACCTTCATGCCCGCTATTCCCACCAGCAAGGCGAATGACAGGCGACAGCCGGCCTGTGTGATACAAATTTAAAAGCAACTTCAAGCCATGTTTTTTTGTACTTCTGCATCACAATACACATATGTCATTCTCTCCCATTCTCAGAAATAATACTGGTCAAGCCACACCAGTGACATAGACATACACATGCATCTCTAACAGACATTATTAGAATCTTGACCAATTAAAATACTCCACATTGAATTAGACTTATACCTAGATATCTCTGGAGAAAATAGTCCTAAATCAGCTTTTTACAACTTCAGAAAGCAGAAAGGACACATGAACAAACTTCCAATCACTTGAGACAGGGTTAATTTTCATCAGATTATGAGGGAGTCATTAATTTTTTTTTACTTACAGTAAATTGAACATTCTCAAATGTAATTATTAACTATAGTTCTCATGTCTATAACATACTTGTGTTCAAAGTGAATTATCTTTACATTTGTAGAAATCAGTGCAAATTTTCATCTAATTCATTGTAATGAATTAGTGGACATTATAGATTGGACCTCCAAAAAACAATTACTGAGAATTCACTTGGGTGCAGCTCAGTACATACTCACTTTCTCTGTGGTAAGGACACCCACAGGTGGCCACATTCCCACGGTCTTTGTGTCTCATAAATCTCTAAAGCCCTGTCACCACTCCTGGCCCATTCACTTGGCTGTAACCACATGTCCCTAGCCTCTATCCTTAAAAAAACTCCATGTTGGTTCCCACCTCAGAATCCCTATTCCTGCTGTACCTATGCTTGAAATCAAGCCCCCCTCCCCCCGATCTTCACATGACTGCCTCTTTCTCTCCATTAGGTTCTCAACTATCAACATCCCTTCCCCAGGAGGCCTGGCCTGACTACCTGAGCTGAATCAGCATCCTAACACATCATGGGTGCAAGCTGCAATCTTCCCTCTCGGGTGAGCCACCAACCAGCTCCCAGATCATGACACAGAGACTTCTTACTAGTTATGAATGTTTAGCCTAGTTTAGGCTCATTTCTGGCTAGCTCTTTTAACTTAAATTAACCTAGTTCTCTTTGATGAGGTGGTATTGTGTTCTCCGAAATATTGTACACCCTGATAAACTTATCTGGGGTCAGAGACAGAACAGCCACAATATTAAACATAGAGGATAGGCAGTGGTAGCGCACACCTTTAATCCTAGCATTCCAGAGGAAGAAATCCATGTGTTCAAGGATACAGCCAGGCATGGTGACTCACACCTTTAATCCCAGAAAGTGAGCCTTTAATCCCAGGGAGTGATGGCAGAAAGCAGAAAGGTATATAAGGTGTGAAGACCAGAAACTAGAAGCATTTAGCTGGTTAAGCTTTCAGGCTTTTGAGCAGCAGTTCAGCTGAGAGATATTGGGATGAGGACTCAGAGGCTTCCAGCCTGAGGAAACAGGACCAGCTGAGAAGTTGGCCAGGTGAAGTTAGCTGTGGCTTGTTCTGTCTCGCTGATCTTCCAGAATTCACCCCAATACCTGGTCTGGGTTTGATCTTATTAATAAGAACTTTTTAAGAATCATGCTACATCTCTTTATCTACCTTTTTCCTTGGGGCTCATCACCTTTCTTACTTCTGTAGATCTTACTTTCATGGCTTCTTGAGTCTGGCTGGCTGGCGGCTGCCTGGCTTCTGGCCCTGGGCCTGTCCCCCTCTTTCTCCTCTTTCTCTTCTCTCGTCTCTCATTTTTAGATTTCTCTCCTACTTATTCTCTCTGCCTGACAGCCCTGCTTATCCCTCTCCTGCCTAGCTATTGGCTGTTCAGGTTTTTGTTAAACCCATCAGGTGCCTTAGGCAGGCCAGGTGAAACAGCAACACATCCTTACATCATTAAACAAATACAGCATAAACAAATGTAGCACACCTTTACACAGCTACATTAATATTCTGCAGCATAAACAAATGTAAGACACCTTTGCCCGGTTAAAACAATATTCCATGACACTCAGGAGATAGAAGTAGAATGATGATCACAAGGTGAAAGCCAGTTTGCGCTAGATAGCAAGTTCTAGACCAACCAATGCTACACAGAAAAACTCAGTCTCAAAGTAACAATAAAAAATGAATAAATAAAACACAAAATGGCACTCTGAGGCCTGCCCTGCTCCACTGATGAATTTTGCGTCTCTTGGAGGTCTGTGTCTATTTAGAATTGTCATTTATTGTTTGTATGTCAATTGTCACTCCTTCTGAATGAAGATGAGGACAGAGACACTATCTCTTCCTCACCTGTGTATTCATGAGCCTGAGACAGAGGCGTGCAAGTGGTATTCTTTGGCGGACTGGTTTAGCAAATGACACCCAAAACCTAGAAAAGATATTTCAGACAAGGGAGAGTCCTTCACCAGGCCCATGTTTTCAGTTGTGTTTACAGATAGAAGGTATCTACAGGATGCAAAATGATGCCTTGGGTGTCCCAGGGTGCCCTGGGAGAAAGTTTTTGAGAGCAACAGGGATAGATGCTGGAAAGTCAGTTAGTTCAGGAAGATGCAGGTTTGGCCCAGACAAGAGAGAGTGGAGGAAAAGATAGCTCTACCCTTGGTACCTGGGGGCAAACTCCATCAACAGGGCATCATTCTAGAGTTTGACTGCATTGAGCCTAGGGTCAGTGGTTAGATGCACCTCGGAGCCAGCTGTCTGCTGTGAGGGTCACTGCCACAAAGTCTAAAGACTTCAGACCAGCCCCAACCTACTACTTAACATCTACAAATGTATCTTTCCAACACAACAATTAATCCTTTGGAGGTTTTGAACATGCAAAGCCAGGTCTTCCTGTAGATACCTAAATTATGAGAGCATGGACAAGGTCTAGGTGAACAGAGAAGAGCTAAGTAAAATGTGCATGAAAATATCACAAGGAAATCTATTTCTTTGTATATTTAGCAAAAAATTAATAAGTAATAAAATGACAAAAATTGACTGGGGCAAACAGTGGAATTTATAGGAACAAAAAAATAAAAGAGATAAAACATAGACAACATCAAGATGTAATGGGCATCAGACTCAGAAAAAGGATCACAGACATTAGACCATGCCTACACCATGCCGGCTCTTCATCACAATTCATAGCAATCACTCTAAATTGGCCCTTAGGGTGTCTTGTAAAGGGAGCTTCTTTATTTTTTAAATTACCGTCTCCATTTTTCCCAGGACCTATACTCAAACACTTCTATGAACTGGCAGTCAGCATTTCATTTCAGATCCTAGAATATATGCTCACGGTGTTATCACCAAAGAAAATGTAAAAAGAAATACGCTGTGTATTCAGATTGTGGTTCCATATTAAAACATACTACAATCTCTCCCCAAGCTCATACACTGTCTTACGTGTTCTTTTCCTTCTTATGTTCATATTCACAGATGTACACTTGCATACTTGAAACATACTGTCAATCAGCATATACTTAGTACATAAGTAGGAAGGAGACTTTACTCAAGCCAACAACCAGCATGAGAGAATATGCTATCTACAACCCAAAGAAAACTGCTAATATTACAACTACATCCCATTGCTATGGTCTAAATGTGAAATATTTGTCATAGGATAATGTGTTTGGAAAGTTGGTCCATTGTTAGCACTGCTGTTTGGGAAGGTTATGGAGCCTCACTGGAGGAGGTGGGTCACAGGAGGCAGAGCTTGCGGCTTTGTAGCCCCACCCTACTTCCTGTTGACAGTCCCACGCCACGTGACTAGGCAGCCTCTCGCTCATACGGTTACACCTTCCCTGTCTAGTGCCACATCTGCCCTGCCATAGTGCACCATGTCCTTCTGAGACCATAAGCCAGAATAAACCCTTTCTCCGTGAAGTTGCACTTGTCAGGGTACTTATCATAGCAGGGAGAACATAGCTAAGACGATTAGATACCGGGAAAGCATCTGCCCCAGCTGCAGCATTTCATATTTGGTATCAAGATCATCTTGAAACTTTCAGGATTTCCTGCTGTCAAAATAAGTGTTTCATGTACAACATAATATACAGTGCACAATCTTTCTGTTACTAAGATATAAAAAAGAGAAAATATGATAAAATTAGATATTATTGGAAAAGCAAACGGAATTCAGAGTTAGATGCATTTATAGTAAACAGTATTTAATTATATTGTTGAATATGATTCAGACTTATGTCTGTATTTAAATACTTAAGGAAATGATTTAACTAAGGCACATTTATCATCTAGAACCATATTTCAAGCAGCGAAACTCAAATAAGTTTTTTTGTTTTGTTTTGTTTTTATAATGGGAAAAGCTACACATGATAGCAGCTGCCACTTTTGGGGTCATGCCCCACCCACCAGATGTCTATTTCACAAAACACTATGTTTTTAAATCTCCTTGACAACAAACTTCATTCCAATAAATGGGAATATGGCCCAGTCCAGATAACGAGGTTTGTTTTGTTACTCTGTTTTCTCTGAAAATCCAATGGCAAATATTAGTTTTATCAAATGTAAGAAAGTAAATTTATCAAAGCATTTGGATTTTTATAAACGGAAGAAACTAATAAAGATGCATTTGTAAGAAAAAAGAAAAGCAGACATCACACATTTGAATACATATAGATCAAGGAAATTCAACATCAAATCAGAAACTTTTAAATTTTATTTTGTGTGTACAGTGTTCTGCCTGCATGTATTTATATGTGCCCTGTGTATGCCTGTGACCGGGGGGTCAAAAGAAGGCATCAGATCCCCTGGAATTAGAATTACAAATGGTTGTCCACTACTAACTGAGTCCTAGGGACTGAAACCGAGTCCTTTGCAATAGCAACAAATGACCTTAACATCTGAGTCATCTCCCCATCAGGCTCTACTTTCAGTCTTGAATATCTGCTTGTGTAAGCTTTTGTCTCCTAAGACATGACCAAGAAGAAAATGGACAATCTGCAGATATAAAATAGGAGTCTAGATGTTTTTGTGCAAGAAGTCTGTCACCTGGCCAAGTGAGACTTCAGTTGGGGTGTGGCCTTAGCTAATTGTCACTCTTTGCTACAAGTGTCTCCAAGCTC